GTGATGGTATATGCATCCCCTCATAAAGCCCAGTTATCCCAAACGACAATCACCTACCTCAGTTTCACTCTCACCCCACAAAACTATGCCATTCCTTAGACTGCAAAATCTTTATCTCCTCCATCACTGTCCCCTCCTCTAAACAAAAAAGACTCCTTTCTCAGACTTGCTGGATACTCTCGCCTCTGAGTTCCAAACATCAGTCTTCCCACAAAGCTCTTCTATATGGCAAAGGGACTCCTCAATGTGCCTTTGATCCCAAGGCCAGAATTCTTACCCTTTTAATGCTCTGAAAACTGCTCTGACCTCAGAGCCTTCTCACACCACTTGTCCCCTTTTCCCAAAGGACAACTTTCTCTACTGTAAAACTACAAACCTTACTTAACAGTTGAGCTACTATCAGAAGATGCACTCAGTATCACCCAAACCTTAGCATGTTATCTCTGGGTGAAAATATGGCAGTTTTAAAGCCAAGCAGCTAGAGGCCTGGGAATAGGCTTCTGGCTTGCTCCCCCCCTTAACACCCCCCACCCCCATCAAACTTTTCTCCAGCCTCATATGCCTATACATAATTTTCCAAAGTCTTTGACAACTTAAAAACATTGGTTGGTTAAATGATAAACATCTAAATATTTCAATAAGTTTCAAGTTCACCTAATTTTAGCTTTTATTGCAGAAAGTCTATAAAGTAAATTTATAACTGTTAATAATACGTCATATTTCATTAAAAATATATTAAAAGTGAGAATGTTCATAAATGTCAATCTAAGAAATGCTGACTGTTTATAAAAGGTTTGTAGGAGGAAATGTTAAAAGGAAGTTATATAAATGACACAGGCCATACCAAGACCGGTTTGGCTCAATGGATAGAGAGTCAGCTTGGGGACTGAAAGGTCCCGGGTTTGATCCCGGTCAAGGGCATGTACCTTGGTTGCGGGCACATCCCCAGTAGGGGGATGATCAATGACTCTCTCTCATCGATGTTTCTAACTCTCTATCTCTCTCCCTTCTTCTCTGTACAAAATCAATAAAATATATTTTAAAAAATTTAAAAATAAAAAAATAAGTGACACAGGCCAGTAAGCCAAAACAAGCAGAATAGGGAAACTGAAATAGTATAGGACATATTATTAACAGTTATAAATTTACTTTATAGACTTTCTATAATATGCTAATGACCTGGTCATTACCCATTACGGCATCCCACTCATTAGCATATTAACTCTTTATTAGTATAGATAGCCAAGATCTGGAAATAGTCCAAGTGTTCATCAGTAGATACAGGGATAAAAAAGCTGTGGTACACAATGGAATACTACTGTGCTATAAAAGGGAATCCACTTTTACACTTTGCAACATAATGGATGGGCGAGGAGAATATCATGATAACTGGAATAAGCCAGTCAGAGAATGTCAAGTGCCATATGATTTCACTCATGTGAAATTTAATGAACAAACTGACTACCAAGCAAAATAGAGACAGACTCATACACAGAGAGCAGGCAGACAGCTGTGGTGGGGTGAGCTGCGAAGGTGGAGCAATTGAGAAAAATGGGTAGGGGGGATAATTCATGAGCTTGGACAACAGTGTGGTGATTGCAGGGCTGGAGGGGGATGGGTGAAGGTGGTAGATAGCCTAGAGGATAAAAGGTGATGCAAATATTAATTTTAAAAAATAATACATCATGATTAAGTAGGGTTTATCCCAGCAATGCAATTACCATTTAATGTGAAAATTACTCAATACAAATTCACATCCTATATAATAAAGAGGTGATATGCAAATTAACCCCCACCCTCACAAGATGGCTGCTTATGACCAGGCTGGCAGGGGGTTAGTAAGGGACAACCAAACAACTGAACAAGCAGGATGCATTGGGTGACTAGGCTGGCAGGGGGGCAGTTGGGGGCAACCAGGCTTGTAGGGGGGTGTAGTTGGGGGCGACCAGGCCAATGGGGGGGGCAGTAAGAGGCGACCAAGCTGGTGGGGGGGCAGTTAGGGGCAACCAGGCAGGCATGCAGAGGCAGTGAGGGGTTATCAGACCTGTAGGGTGAGCAGTTAGGGGCAATTAGGCAGGCAGGCAGGTGAGTGATTAGGAGCCAGCAGTCCAGTATTGTGAGAGGGATTAGGCCTAAACTGGCATTTGTACATCACCCAAGGGGTCTCGGATTGGAGAGAATGCACGATGGGCTGAGGGGGACACAGGCCTCTAGTATTAACAGATTAAAGGGTAAGAGCATATGATAATTTCAATGGGTTGGTGGTTCTTTTTGACCTCCAGATATTTGACAATGTCTGGAGACATTTTTGGTTGTCACAGCTGGGGTACTTGGAGTTGCTACTAGCATCCACTGGATAGAGACCAAAAATGCTGTTCAACACCCTACTATGTACAGGGCAGGCTTCAGTTGAATATCAACATTTGATATTCTACTTAACCTCTCAACACTATGTTTGTAATATCTATAAGCATTGCTATAAGGTTTATACATCTATTTGTTGGGTCTGGCTACATAATATCCCACAGTAAGCATCTGCTGTTTCTTATTCATCCCTTGGTGATAAATACCTTAATTGCTTCTAATTACAATCCACTGCACATAACACTGCCATGCAATGAACAGCCATGTAAATGCTCCCTCATGGATCTTTTTAAGAACTTTTCTGGGATACATATTCAGAAATGGAAGCACTAGTTCATACATATGCTTAACTTTGATAAATACTTTCCATGTGCTTTCTGGAATGGCTGAAACAGTTTAAATACTGTGCAGAAAAGAGTTAACATATCAGGCCTGAAGCTGCTATCCTTAGAAATACCTGTTAGAAATGTTGGCCTTCACTGGCATCTTGGAATTTGGATCTCAAGAGGCTTCTGACCATTCCCTGGCAATAGTGGCTCACTATGCTTAAACTGTTTATGTAAACAATGTGGTTTATACTGAATGCCCCCTTTCCTTCTGGGAGTCTAGAATTTGCCTATATGCTAGGCAAGGGTGTCTATGTGACCAGACACCTCATAAAATGCTTACATACTGAGACCCTAATGAATTTCCCTGGTAGAGAATAATTCATATGTATTGTCACAACTTATTGCAAGGGGAGGGAATTAAGTGCATTTTAGATGACCTACTCAGAGAAGACTCTTGAAAACTTGAGCATGGTTTTGTCCAGACATTACTCATGGTGCCTTTTCCTTTTGCTGATATTGCTTTGTATCCTTTAGCTAAATAAATTATAACCATGAGTATAACTATATGTTGAGTCCTGCAAATCCCTCTAGCAAACAACCAAATTACATATACATGAGCAACCAGGCTTGTAGGGGGGTGCAGTTGGGGGCGAGAAGACTTACTTTTAGTTACACACTTTTTATGTGCCACTTGAAATTTGTATCATGTGCACATGTCCTCTCTTTAAAAAATAAATACTTTATAAAATGGGAGAAGAGAGTTGTCAAAACAACTTTGTCAGCTATGATAAGACCCAAGAGAACCACAGGGATATAGAGTGAATATATCCTATATCATAAAAGGCTAAGATGCAAATAGACCAAACCGTAGAACAACCGGTTGCTTTGATGCACACTGACCACCAGGGGGCAGATGCTCAGTGAAGGAGCTGCCCCCTGGTGATCAGTGCGCTCCCACAGGAGGTACGCTGATCAGCCAGAAGCCAGGCACATGGCTGATTAGTGCAGTGGGAGTGGCAGGAGCCTCTCACACCTCCGTGGCAGCGCTAATGACCCTTTGGAAGATGTCCGACTGCCGTGGGGAGCGGGCTTAAGTCAGCAGGAAGACAACCCTCAAGAGGTCCCAGACTGTGAGAGGGCGCAGGCTGGTCTGAGGGACCCCTACCCCCAGTGCATGAATGTTGTGCACCAAGCCTAAAAGGTGATGCAAATATTAATTAAAAAAAAAATAAATTAATCATATATATCATTGATTTCAGAGAGGAAGGTAGAAAGAGAGAGAGAAAGAAACATCAATGATGAGAATCACAGATCAGCTGCCTCCTGCATGTCCACTCTGGGGATCAAGCCTGCAACCCAGGCATGTGCCCTTGGTTTGAATCAAACCCGAGATCCTCTAGTCCTCAGGCCGATGCGCTATCCACTTAGCCAAACCAGCTAGGGCTAGAATGAACCTTCTTATATTCCAGATGATGAAGCCCAAAGAAGGTAATGCACTTATCCAAAGTTAGCCAGACAGTTATTATAGACACAGGACTCAAATCCTCATTTTTCATTTATCCTAGTGCTCCTTTCTCTAAGCCATATGGCCTCTTTTCCTACACATATCATTTCTACCCTAGTTCTTTCCCTTAAATGCCTCACAGAGACCTATTTTCATGATGGCCATGGGCTCTCCTATTACTCAGATCCCTGAATTCTCCATGTAGTGAATAATTTCAAAGACCTTCCAAAACACCAGGTAGCACAGAAACTGAACCCAACGGAAAAAAAAAAGCTGAGGAAAAATCTTACTGGTAACTCTCTGAAGGAGAGAGAAAAGAGAGGGGGAATGTAAAGTAAGAGAGTCCTAGTTCAAATTACAGTACCTTCCTAAGTCCTCATGCACTGGCAAAGTTATCAACATTGGAGTCAGAGTAGAATCTATCCACTACAAGACAAACCACCTGAGCAGGACCAGGGAGCTCAGACACTCCTTTCAATGCTTCTTTTTTTTTTTTTTTTTTTTTTTTTTTTAATAACTTTTTCTTTTTTTTTACTGAGTTTGTTGGGATGGCATTGGTTAATAAAATTATACCAGAAATGATATAGGCTTCAGGTGTACAATTCTATAATACATCGTCTGTATATTGTATTGTGTGTTTACCAACCCAAATAAAGTATCCTTTCATCCCCATTTATCTCCCCTTTACCCTCTTATACTCCCTCCACCCTTTCCTTCTGGTAATCACCATAATGTTTTCTCTGTCCATGACTCTTTCTTTTTTAACCTCTCTTAAAACTCTCCCCAAAGAGAAAGATACTTACATGTTCTAGAAAGCAGGGTCCTATCTCACTGAGGTGGGGGTCATCATTGTTGTACTGTTTCTCCAGGTCTCTCACAAAGCCCATCTGAAACCTGTAGATGTCTTCAATGTTCCCAAAGATGATCTTCAATTGCTCATCACTGAACATGTCCCTTCTCTTTCGGCATTGCTTCAGGTAGCCCTGCGGACAAAAAAAAAAAAAAAAAAGAGCCCAGTCTGAGGATATCCCTGGTTCCTTGAAAGTTTTACCACTTCTTAAATAGTTGGAGCCTCAATTCAATCCCATGAGGTAGATAGGAAATAATCCTATATAATAAAACCCTGTTTGACTGCTGGGGGATTGGGCCTAAGCTGGCAGTCAGACATCCCCTGAGGGGTCCTGGACTGTGAAAGGGCATAGGGACCCTCCCTCTTCTGCTGAGTGCACTGGGCTTCTGGTCATTTATATTTTTCATATGAGAAAATTAAGGTTTAGAGAAGGAAGCCACTCCACCAGTGAAAAATTAGAAAAGTTGGATCTCAAGCAGTCTTCAGCATGCAAAGACTTGAGTATAGAGCTTTGCCTGAAATTCTCTATGACAAAGACCCCCAAAGGATCATTTCTTAGAAGCTGGTTAAGCATAAACATTTTCATTAATTTTAGTAGTTATTGATTTAGTTGGATATATTCCTATCTCTAAAGTTCTTTATTTTTTTTCTTTCATATAAAAACTAAATGTGAGCCCAGCCGGCATGGCTCAGTGGTTAAACGTTGGCCTATGAACCAGGAGGTCATGATTCAATGCCCAGTCAGGGCACATGCACAAGTTGTGGGCTTGATCCCCAGTGTGGGGCATGCAAGATTCTCTCTCATCTTTCTCTCCTTCTCCCTTCCTCCCTGAAATCAATAAAAATCTATTTAAAAAAATAAAAGCTAAATGTGATTTTTATACTTTTTGTAAGTGTTGAACCCCTAATGAAGAGCATTGTAGTGACTGACTTACCACGTCCAGGCCTATCTTTACCTCCACTTTGTCTCCCCTAACACAGCTTCCAATCAGGTCATCTAGGCATAGTCCAGGAGGATCCTCTTCCCTGACTTAATGGCCTTTACCAACCTCTACCATAATCTCACTTCCCTTATCTCTTCTAACAGTCCCAATCAGCCATTAATTATTAAGTGTATTTCAACAGTTACACAAAGTAATAGTCTGTGCCTGTGTTGACATTTATTTTACTAATGGCAGCTGCCCTAATTGATTGAAATGCCCAAGATGTTCTGTATTCATTTATATCCAATTTTTGACCAGGAAGAACAAGCCACCTATTCCAAAAATACTCTTTTAGCTTCACTACTTTTACTGAAACAACTCCCAAAATTCCGCCTCCTTGACTAACAGGAAGATCAGTAACTCCCAGTGTTTGCTTACCTTTTTCTTGCCTCTTCCTCCCTCTCCCTTTCCCTTTCTCATCCTATCATATTTGGAAGAATCTTAGCTACAGTAAAGCAGGGAAAGTAGTGTGCATATCACCAAGTAGGAACTTTTCTATCTTAACATCAGGCAACTGGGCAGAGACTTCCTCACCCTGCTCCCACTTCTCCCTAAAATAGGTGTGTGAACACAGCTGAAAAAACTGCTAACAATGTCACAGCATGTAATGTCAGATAAGTACAGATATCAGTGAGTGACCATATTGGAACAATATAAGAAGCCACTAGGACAGCTCATTTATCCTTAGAAGACAGTTTAGGAAGTATTTAATAGTTCTTTTCATTGCTCCCATTTAAAAGGAATCAGGGAAAGAATAATTATCAAACCCCCAAAGTACAACAAGGATAGTAGATCTCAACATCAGTATGCAATATAACAGAAATGAAAAATAAAAAAAGTGGGTTCTGGAAAAGAAAGAACAGATAGAGATGTCAGTAAATTCCTAATTCCTCAAATATGCTATTCATTGCCATTGTCAAGGTGACATTTTCTTTCTATTACATCATATGTGTTGTAACATGTAAAAATTAAGCTACGGTATGTACTAGAAGAAATGTAACTGCCCATAGCATGGCAAGACATTAGAGTGCTTTGTAAACTGTTTTTCTTTAAAGCTAATGCTGATTATAAATACATTCTGGTCTATTTAACTTGATGGAGTATCATGTAGCCATTAAAATGATTATGAAGATTATCTAGAAATATGGAGAAGTGCTTATGATATAATGTTAAAAAGCAGGACACAGCCGAAACCGGTTTGGCTCAGTGGATAGAGCGTCGGCCTACAGACTGAAAGGTCCCAGGTTCAATTCCAGACAAGGGCATGTACATTGGTTGGGGGCACATCCCCAGTAGGGGGTGTGCAGGAGGCAGCTGGTCGATGTTTCTCTCTCATCGATATTTCTAGCTCTCTGTCCCTCTTTCTCTCTCTTCCTCTCTGTAAAAAATCAATAAAATATATTTTTTTAAAAAGCAGGACACAAAACAGTATGTCACTATGATTATGACTCTGTAAATACATGTACATATTTGAAGGAATTACACAGAACAAGAGAAAGTAAGATCCGGACAGCACTTCAAAAAGCAACTCTTTTAATCCCCTTATTTTAGAGTTGGGGAACAAGGCCCAGGAGGGAGAAGATTCACTTGATGTTCCTCAGTGATTAAGTTGAGACCTGAATAGGGACTTCCAATTCTGAATCTGATGTTCTTTCTGATAAACCATATTTCTTCTCACAGCTTTTGAGTTAGAGGTAACAAATCCTGAGCTAAAATACTCTCTTCTGATCCAGACAGAAACAACTTTCCCCACCTTTCTATTGCTCTAGTGCAGTGGTTGGCAAACCACAGCTCGTGAGCCACATGTAGCTCTTTGGTCCCATGAATGTTCTAACGCCACTTCTTCAAAATAGACTTGCCCAGGCCGAAAACAAACTTCTGTGCATGGGCCAAAAGTACGTGAGCACCCGCACATGGTATTTTGTGGAAGAGACACACTCAAGGGGACAAAACCATGGCTCGCAAGCTCATGTGGCTTGTGAGCCACAGTTTGCTGACCACTGCTCTAGTTAAATCTTTCTTTTACAACAGCATGGATGAACCTAGAGGATAGTATGTCAAGTGAAATAAGTCAGTCACAGAAAAACAAATATCACATTTCACTTATTTGTGGAATCTAAAGAACAAAATAAATGAACAAACAAAACAAAACTGATTTTTAATATAGAGATTAGACTAATGGTTACCAAAAGGAGAAAGGGTTAGAGGATTGGATGAAAAAAAAGTGAAGGCATTGAGAACTACAGATTAGTAGTTACAAAATTGTTATGGGGATGTAAAGTAGAGCATAGGAAATATAGTGAACAATATTGTGATAAATATGGTGCAAATTGGGAACTAGGAATATCTGGGGAACACTTTGTAAATTATTATCTAACCAATATGCTTTACACCTGAAACTAAGATTAAATAATATTGAATGTGAACTGTAGTTTAAAATATTAAAAGTTTTAAAAGGACTTCCTTTGATACCTATGATTGCAAGATAGGATAAATAGATATTTCCCACTTAAACTCTTAACTTTAGCACCAAGTATCGATATATTTAAGAAATACAAAACCGGCAGATTGCCAACTAAAGCTTCACATGGGTTGGCTAGATAAACAATCCAATCTAAAAACAGGCAAAGGACCTAAATAGACACTTTTCAATGTGGATATATGGAAGGCTAAGAGGCATATGAAAAAAAAATATCCTCAACGTCACTAATTATCGAATAGATGCAAATCAAAACTACTGTGAGGTACCATCTCACACCAATCAGAATAGCTATCATCAACAAACAAGAAGTGCTAAATTTTTAAAAATACCCATGAAAAAATAGTGGAGAAAAGGTAACCTTTATACACTATTGGTGGGAATGCAGACTTGTGCAGCCTCTGTGGAAAACAGTGTGGTGTTTCCTCAAAAAAAAATTAAAAATGGAACTCCCATTTAATCCAGTAATCCCACTTCTAGGAATATATCCCAAGATTTCAGAAACACCAATCAGAAATGGCATATGCACCCCTATGTTCATAGCAGTAAAATTTACAATCACTAAAATTTGGAAACAACCTAAGTGCCCATCAGCAGATGAGTAGATTAAAAAACAGTGCTGCATCTACACAATGAAATACTACACTGCTATAAAAAATAAAGAACTCTTACTCTAAACAACAGCATGAATGGACCTTGAGAGCATTATGCTAAGCAAAATATGTCAGTCAGAGAAGGATAAGTATCACATGATCCCAGTCATTTTTGGATTATAATGAAAAACATAAACTGAATCCAGAGACATAGAAGCATGGAACAGACCATCAAACATTAGAGGGAAGACAGGGGAGTGTGGGCTGGGGGGATGGGTGGGAGGTAAGAGATCAACCAAATAACTTGTATGCATATAAGCATAATCAATGGACACAGACAATTGGGAGTTGGGGGGGTGTAGGCCGGGTTGGTGGGCAGGAGCAGGCTGGGAGAGGACAACAGGGGGGAGAGGATATATATCATACTTTCAATAATAAAGAATTTTTAAAAATACCCATGAAGAGAGAGAGAGACAGATATAAAGAGAGAGAGAGAGAGAGAGAGAGAGAGAGAGAGAGAGAGAGAAAGAGAAAGAGAGAGAGAGAGACACTTAGAAGCCCCAAAGAATCAGTTCCTTATGAACAAAATTTAGGAAGCCAGTCAAGGTGCTGTTTCCAACATCTTTAACTGTTACAGGTAGGGCCATGTATCTTCATGGAAGTGTACTTTATTTCACCCTATGTGCCACCACAAGCACTACCATAGCTGGACCTACCTCACAAATGTCCTTGAGGTGCTTGATATAATGACGCTCAGTACTCATGATTTCATTGATGACATTGGCCCGCATCTGATCTCGGTTCTGTAGTGGCCGGCCCAGACAGAGGCAGTCTGAGTTGGGGTCCAGATGCCCATTCTGCACATCACTGGGCCCTTCCTCTACCCCATCCTCTTGGTTCACCCAGAGCTGTGGAAGAAGGCAGAGAAAGAAAGGATTAACTTCTCTCTTTGAGAAGTTTTCAAACAAGTAGAAAAAGTATAAACTAAATTCTTCAGGTATTCAGAGAGCCTTCAGAGGCCCCTGTAAACTGCATGCCAGGCCATGCTCCAGCGTATCTTGTGGACCCTAGGAATGAGTCTAATTTTCTCTTGGCCTCTGGTGACCCATCATCTATAAAATGAAAGATGGGAAATCATCTTCAGAGACTTCTTAGCTAAAGTGGTTTCAAAGGAGAGAAGAGCAATGACAAACAGAACACATTCATATTGGGGCATATTAAGGAGAATAGTTGGATAAAAATTAAAAAAAAAGAATTAAGCTATACATATGAGGTGCCATGGCTGAATTATTATTAAAAACAATACCTATGAGTATGGAGATCAAAGTTAGAAACTAGAGTGGGCATATCTAAACCAGTGCTTTTGGTGTTAATTTCCCTCAATGCCTGTACATATAATCATTAAAATTTGACTGTAAGATTATTTGGATATGCAAATATCTATACTTCCTCAAGGTTGGAATGGAGATATAATAATGTCTTTGTACCACATAATAGCAACATCTGTTTATTTATCACTTAGTATATATCAGCCCCTGTGTTGAGTTTTCAGTGAACTGTATTATTCAGTTCTGCTAGGCAGGTACCATTATTATCACCATTTCACAGAAGAGGAAACTGAGCCTTAAAAAGTTAGGGATTTCACCCCAAGTCACAAAGTTAAGAAGCAGAAGAGCTGGGATAGAAGCCAGGCAGTCTGGATCCAGAGTTTTTACTCGTAACTACTATACTAGCTCCTTTTGCCTTAATTTTAAGAGAGACAGAAAAGTAATAGAGAAGGGATTAGGACAAGGTGAGCTTAGAAATATTAGACAAGTCAAAACTGGATACAATTGGTAGATGTTCAAACTATCCATTCCAAATCATGAAGCAAAGGAATGCAGGAAAAAAAAAACTGTTGTGGGGAGGATCCAAGATGGCTGCCCACGGGACTGCAGGCTACAAGATAGTGTGAGAGTGTGAAAATGAAAGAAGAGTGCATTGTTGATGTGCTGGGAGTGTCAGTATTTGTGAGTGAGAGACAGCTATATTCTAAAGGACTGTTGGGGAATGGCGGACTGCCCCCCACCCCTGACCAGTTAGCCTATACTGCAGCTGAAATCTCTCTTGGAGTGGCTGGCTCTGCCTCAGAGGCCATGCCATCTTGAAGGGGAGATGGCTGTGATCCAGAGACTGACTGTGATCAGAATCCCAGCCTTACCTTGAACTGGGTAGATCTCTGCTACCTCTTGGGACCTTACAACCACAAAGCCCAGGGACTAGTTACCTCAGCTGCGAATCTATGAATGCTGGAACTCCAACCTCCATGACCACAGGTGCCTAGAAGGTCTGCTCAGAGGGAGACAGAGCAGCACAAATTTGGGGACAGGCCCTGTGCCTTCTCACAGAGCAGAAGGAATAGCTGAATAAAAGAGCTCACTAGGAACTGGTGAAATAAACACAGCTGGCAATCTGCAGATGAAAAGGTCAGATATTGCCTAGAGAAAGGTGAGATCTGGAATCCAGGCTGGAGGGAGAAACACACACAGTGGGAACTGGAGACTTAAAGAAAGACTGTCCCCTACAAAATCAACAGCCGCTGGTGTCAGTGTAGCCATCGAATGTGCAAGGGGGTCCACAGGGATGCTGGCAGAAGCGGATTTTAGATATTAACCCACAGCTGGACTGGACACAGAAAGGCAGCCTGAAATTCTGTATTGGCTGCACAGAGCCAGGGGGAAAAGATACACACAGAGTCACACCCAGAGTCCAACTCAGAGCCAGGGTACAGAGGCCTTTTAGTCCTGGATATTAAGACAGAAACACTGCCACCCAGGGACTGTATCAGAAATAGACTCTTGTACGTAAATAAAACTAAAGGCACGCTGAGAAACAAAGAGAGCAGAGAGATCCTGCCTGCTTGAAAACAAGGTTGTGACACAGAGGAGTGGTGGATCGCAGGAAACTTCAATACTGTGCTGACTACATGCAAGTAAACAGACATGCCATGCAGAACAGTGGAAGAAGTGAATGATCTTCACAACTTCACATTTTTATTTTTTATTTTTTTACTTAAGAAACTAATTTTTTTCTCACTTGATTTTACCTTGTTTTTTTTATTTTATTTTATTTATTGTATTTACTAGAGGCCCATTGCACAAAATTCATGCATGAGGGGAGGGGGGGTTCCTCAGCCAAGCATGTGTTCTCTCCAATCTGGGAACCCTCCAAGGATGCCCTAATGCCAGTTTACAGGGGTCAGGCCTAAACCAGCAATCAGACATCCCTGTCAATCAAAGACTGCTCACCTGCCTGCCTGCATCATTGCCCCTAATCACTCTGCCTGCCAGCCAACTCACCCCCAACTGACCCCCACCACCTGCCTGCTTGCCCCCAAATGCCCCACCACCAGCCTATCACCCCCAACTGTCCCCCTACTGGCCTGATCACTCCAAACTGCCTCCCCTCACTGTCCTGCTCACCCCCAATAAGACCCCTTGCTGTCTGGTTACCCCCAATGGCACCCGCCATTCCATCCTGTCCTGATCACCCCCTGGTGACCCAAGGTCCCAGCCCCACCTTCTTTTATTTTCTTTTATTTATTTATTTATTTTTTTGCAGCACCTCCTTGAGTGGAGGCCAGAGCCAGCAGGAAGCAAGTATGTAGGATTTATATATCTTCTATAATTGAAGCTTTGTAGACTTGAGCAGAGGCCAGGGTGGCCAGGGCGGGTGGGAAGCTTGGCTTCCTCCATTGCCGGGGCAACCCAAGCCTCCTACTTGCTCCAGCTCTGTGATCACTTCATTAAAATATCCATACTGCTGAAACCGGTTTGGCTCAGTGGATAGAGCGTCGGCCTGCGGACTGAAGGTTTCTGGGTTCGATTCTGGTCAAGGGCATGTACCTTGGTTGCAGGCATATCCCAGGTAGGGGGTGTGCAAGAGGCAGCTGATCGATGATTCTCTCTCATTGATGTTTCTAACTATCTATCCCTCTCTCTTCCTCTCTGTAAAAGATCAATAAAATATATATTTTTTAAATGTCCATACTACTCAAAGCAATCTATAGATTCAATGCACTTCCCATTAATATACCAATGGCATATTTCACAGACCTAAAAAGAACTCTCCAAAAATTCATCTGGAATAAAAGACGACCCTGAATAGCCACAGCAATCCTGAGAAAGAAGAATAAAGTAGGAGGGATCTCAATACCAGGTTTCAAGCTGTATTACAAAGCCACTGTTCTCAAAACAGCCTGGTACTCACACAAGAACAGACATATAGACCATTGGAATAGAATAGAGAATCCAGATATCAACCCAAATAACTATGCTCAATTAATATTTGACAAAGAAGGCATGAACATACAATGGAGTCAAGACAGTCTCTTCAATAAATGGTGTTGAAAAAATTGGACAGATACATGTAAAAAAATGAAACTAGATCACCAACTTACACCATACACAAAAATAAATTTAAAATGGTTATAGGATTTAAACATAAGACAGGAAACCATAATAATATTAGAGGCATCCAGAGGCATCAAAATCTCAGACATATGCCAAAACAACTTCTTCACTGATACTGCCCTTAGAGCAATGGAAGCTAAAGAGAAAATAAACAAATGGTACTACATCGAGATAAAAAGCTTTTTTATAGCAAAAGAAACCAGCAACAAAACAACAAGAAAGCCCACTGTATGGAAGAACATATTTGCAAATGTTATCACTGATAAAGGTTTAATCTCCAACATCTACAGGCACCTTTTACAACTTAATAAAAGGAAGATAAATGATCAAATAAAAAAATGCGCAATGGACCTAAATAGAATCTTTTTGAAAGAAGACAGAAGGCCAACAGACACATGAAAACATACTCAAAACAGCCTCTTTAATAAATGGTGTTGGAAAATTTGGTCAGATACATGCAAAAAAAAAAAAAAAAAAAAAAAAAAAAAAAAAAAAAAAGAAAGAAAGAAAGAAAGAACAAGAACCAGATCACTAACTTACACCATACACAAAACAAACTCAAAATTGCTAAAGGACTTAAATATATATAAGACTATATATAAGACAGGAAACCATAAAAATCCTATAAGACTCAATAGGCAGCAAAATAACAGACATATGTCGTAGCATTATTTGTGCAGACACAGCTCCTAGGGCAATGGAGACTAAGAAGAAAAACAAATGGGACTACATCAGAATAAAAAGCTTCTGCACAGCAAAAGAAACCATCAACAAATATACAAGAAAGCCCACTGTATGGGAGACATATTTGCCAATGATATTTCTTATAAGGGTTGAATCTGCAAAATTTACAGATAACTCATACAAGTTAACAAAAGGAAGATAAATGATCCAATCAAAAATGGGCAAAGGATCTAAATAGACACTTTTCAAAAGAGGACATAAAGAAAGCCCAGAGACATATGAAAATATGCTCAAAGTCACTAATCATCTAAGAGATGCAAATCAAAATAACAATGAGATACCATCTCACACCTGTCAGAATGGCTATCATCAACAAATCAACAAATGACAAGTGCTAGCAAGGATGTGGAGAAAAAGGAACCCTCCTGCACTGCTGGTGGGAATGCAGACTGGTGCGGCCACTGTGGTAGACAGTATGAAGTTTCCTCAAAAAGATAAAAATGGAATTCCCATTTGACCCATTAATCCCACTTTTAGGACTATATCCCAAGAAACCAGAAACACTTATCAGAAAGGATATATGCACCCCTATATTCATAGCAGCACAATTTACAATAGCTAAGATTTGGAAACAGCCTAAGTTCCCATGAGGAGATGAGTGGAATAAAACCCTGTGGTACATCTACATAATGGAATAATACGTTGCTATAAAAAAGGAACTTTTACCATTTGCAGCAGCATAAATAGAACTGGAGAGCATTATGCTAAGCGAA